AACCCACGGGCTCAGGCAATCCACTCACCTCAGCCTCCCAAAGTGCTGGGATTACAGGCTGAGCCACCGAGCCCGGCCAAACTTCTTGAAAGTATATTGTACATGTAATCTTCACTTCCTCATCTTCCCATCCACTTCTCAAGCCACTGTACTTTGACCTCTGCTCCCATCATTCCACTGAAACTGCACTTGCAAAGGTCACCAACAACTTCCTTGTTTCTAAATCCAGAGGATTCTTTTAGACTTATTTTACTTGATTAGTCATCGGCCTTCGTCACTTTCCTCCTGTGGCTTCTGAAACACTATTTCTACTACTGATTTTCTTACCATTTTGGACAGTTTATCTCAATTACTTTTGCAGGTTCATCCTCCTTTGCTAGACCCTCAAACTCAGAAGCTTCTCAGGTCTCTGTCCTAGGCCCTCTTCTCTTCTTACTTTATACATACTCCTTGGGTAAACTCAACAAATCTACTGGTTTGGTTGGCATCTATAAGACTCTACAGACTCCAATATTCTTACTTCCAGTGTAGACTTCTGTTGTGAACTCCAGTCAGGCAATGTTCAACTGCCTCCAGGACACATCTGCTTGGATGTGCCATTGGGATGTCAAACTTGCCATGCCTAGAACTGACCCCCTCCTAAAAACTGTGCATTCTCTCCTTCCTATTTGCCCAAAGTAGGAATCTACAAGTCTTTTGTTTCTCCTTCTTCTCATACACCCAGTCAGTCACCATGCCCAGTTCTTTCTAGGTATAAGCTTCTAAGGAATCCTCCTCTCCATTTCAGCTGCCACCCCATGCTTTATGCCACCATAATCCTCTCCCACTATTGAAACAATTCCTATTTGGTCTTCCTCCTTCTCCCAATCCCCATTCCATTCCTTGCACAGATTTTTCTAAGACATAAATCTGATTGTGACTCCCTGCTTAAATCCCTGCAATGACTTCCTACTGTCCTCAGTATAAAATCTAGACCCATAGCTCTGATCCTCAGCAAGATCTACCTATAATGGCAAAGCTAAGCTTGGCATCAAAGACTCTCCAGGATCTAACTGTTTTTTCAAGGTTTTTCTCACATTAGCCTCTCCTCTGGCTAGAAGATGCCTCATGAAATTTCTGACACTCGCCCCTCACTTTTCTCTCTTTGAGCTCCTGCAAGGAGTCTTTTTCCCTCCCTATCTCCACAATTTGAAAGGTCCAGCTCAAGAGTGAGTCCCACTGCCCTATGTGCCCTGTCTCTCTGATTCTAGGCTCCTAAAATCCTTACTTTTCTGTGGTATTTATCCTCCGTACAGAATTAGAGCATGGTTTTTCTCCCTCTCCTATTAAGACATGGAATTTAGAGCCAAAAGCTTGATCCTCATTAGAGCCCAAGGAAGCTTACTTATTCCAGTCTTAGGCATACAATAAGCAAATGCGTGATAAATGCGTGGGTAAATGCAAGAAGGATGTATTTCCCAATCCCTCGGTGTTCCCCACGAACAGGGCATTCTCTAAAGTCACCAACTGAAGACAGCCTCCCACCTACCCATTCAACCAGAATACGCCTCAACCCCACTAGGTGGAAGGTGGGTCGGCATGCGCCCCCTAGGCCGTTTTGTACGGTTTTCTACCTCCAGCCCTCGGAGCTGCGGCTGGTAGAAGATGACAGAAGTAGCTAGACGATGCAAGTCAAAGAGCACTGCTTTCCGCCGCGTAGGGTGAGACTCGGTTCGGACGAGAGACCCTCCCCATTTCCAGTCTACAGCAACTCTCCTGCTCTCACCTACACAGGAGAGTGGGGACTCTTTCTGACCGGCGTCCCGGCTGACCAATACCTGATTCTGATCAAGAGTGTTAGCCAATGGCTGAGGGCCAGGAACAGGGAGAGGCGGGGCATGGTTGCTAGGGCAGAGCTAGTGGGGTGCGGCGAGAGGCTATGAGGGCGACTCGGTGGTTGCTAGGGCGGGAGGTCACAGAGCGCGGCTCCGGGATTGGGCAGTGTCGGGGGAGGTGTGTGGTGATTGGGCGGTACCCAGGAGGCGGCCGGCTGAGGCCCGGGTGCGCAAGCGGGAGTTCCGGCGGGAGGCCCGTGCTGAGGGCCAGCGCCTTCACCATGGCCTCGGCTGAGCTGGACTACACCATCGAGATCCCGGATCAGCCCTGCTGGAGCCAGAGTATGGAATGAGGGTTGGGTCCAGTCGTGGGGAGGTGACCTCGTGAGTCTGTGGGTTGCGAGCGCAGCTGTAGCTCCGCCCTTCGCGCGGCCCCGCCCCCCTGTTCCCGCCCCTTCGTAGGGTGTCTCAGGTCCTAGACTTTGTGGGACTCAAAGAGCCCCGCCCCTTTCAAGCCCCGCCCTCAGAACGCTCCTCCTCTCCGAGCCCCGCCCCTTCCTGCGTAAGTTGCTACTTTGGGTCCTTTTTTTCGGGTCTTTCCCGTTTAGGGGGTCTCAGGTCAGTCCCCTCGTTTCTCTTCTCGTAGGTGAAGACTGCCGAGATCAGTGTCCCTTCGATTTCTTTGTTTGGGATCGCGCATCCCACGTCTAACTGCTCTTCGGCGGGGGGGGGCTACAGGTACCACCGATTATTTTCCCCAGGGGGTCGGGGGTCCTCACAGAAGCCCGGGACTCAGAACCCTCAGTCCTCCCTCTCCACTCTTCTTGGCAGTGGTTAACAGTGCCGTCGGGTAGAACTCGGTTGAAATCCTGACTCCTCCCTTTATTAGCTAGATGACTTTTGGTAAGCTACCTTTTCTGAACTTGTTTCCTTCCTCATAGGGTTTTGGGGACACAGCTGAGATTCGTTGTGTAAAGGAACCGGCATAGTGTCTGGTATGGAGTGAGTTCATTAATTGGCATTTAGGATCAGCATTGTTTCTTCCTCTGCAGTCATATCATTAAAGAAAGATGTGTGGGAGGCTTCACAAAATTAGGAAGCTTTAAAGCAGGCCTGCGTCCATGACAGTTGTGAATAGGTTTGGGAGCCCGGAGAGTGAAAAAGTTTAGCCTCATGGTGAATTATGTTAGAGGGGCCTTGAAGTACAGGTCAGCCTGAGGCCAGCATGTCTCTCACCTGCATTACTCCAGCATTGCCTTCACGCCTCACCTCCGTCTCACTGCCTGCAGCCCAGCCTCTTATATTGCTACCACAGTGATCTTCCTAATACAGAGGTTTGATCTTGATCACTGCTCTGCATAAAACCCTTCAGTGGCTCCTTATTGCCCTCAGCATAAATCAAGTCTGGATTTCTTAGCATGGTGTTCAAAGTCCTTCATAATTTAGCAGCCCCTGCTTACCTCTTTGCTCACTATGTCCTTCCACCGTTGAATTTGAATTTTATGTTCTGGTAACCCCAAACAACTTGTGATTCTCCACACACTTCTTCTCTGCCTTTGCTCCTTCTGTTTCCTCTGTCTGGAATGCCCTTTCCCCTCTGCTGCCCACACTGCCCCCTCATTTGTCCAGCTCATCGTTGAAGACTTAGCTCAGATGTAGCCTCCTTCAGCCTTCTCAGACTTTTTCTATAGCATCTCCTGTTCCTTGGTTGGAGTCTAGGAGGAGAGGGCGGCCCTTAGGCGTCTATAGAACAGATGACTCCAGACCAACTGTTGTTCCCTAGAGCTGGATCTGTTGGCTGAGGGTTCTAGGGTCTATAGATGTAAAAATACTTCTGACCGGGCGTGGTGGCTCAAGCTTGTAATCCCAGCACTTTGGGAGGCCAAGGCAAGAGAATTGCCTGAGGCCGCGGGTTCATGACCAGCCTGGGCAACATGGTGAGACCTTGCCTCTACAGTAAATAAAAAAACTAGTCAGGCATGGTAGTGCATGCCTGTAGTTCCAGCTACTTGGAAGGCTGAGGTGGAAGGATCGCCAGAACCCAGCAGGTCAACGCTGGGATGGCTGTGAGCATGCCACTGCACTCCAGCCTGGGTGATGTAGCGACTCCAATTAAAAAAAAATATTTCTGACAAGTTTTGGCATCAGCAAAAGATGAGGTCAGTTAATATTACTGCCTTTGGAGAGCCTTCAGCTGCAAAGGGCTGGAGCTGCCTTCTGCATAGCCAGGCAGGCAGAAGTTCTCTCTCAGCTCAGGAGGGCAACCTGGCAGTCTTGGTTCACATTTCAGCTTCATCTCTTATTAGCTCTACGTCTTTGGCAAGTTATTGAACCTCCCTGAGCCTCAGATTCCTCCACTGTGGAACAGGAATAATAATAGTGCCCACCTCATGGGATTGTGAGGGTTAACAAGATGGTGACTGGTGTGTGTGCTTGGCATGGAGCAGGTGCTGTCAGTGCATTTCCTCCCCTGTGATTCCCTTCACTGCTTCATGAGGTGGGTCTTAGAGTTGGACGAAATCTCAGGGGGCCATTGTGTCCTGCATCCCTCTGTTAGCATGAGGGCATTTCCATTGTTGGCAGACCCTTCCCTGTTGGGATGCTTCCACCCAAACATCCTGGCCTGTTGGAGACAATTGGGATTGTTAGAAAGCACTTCCCTTTTTTGGGCCACAGTAGACCTTCGTGTCATTTCCCCTCTCAGTTCAGCATTTGCTGTGTCCTGGCCATGGGTTAGTTGCTGGCGCCTCAGAAGTGACTCACGCACAGGCACCCTTCAGGGAGCTGAGGTTTTGGGGAGGGGATGTGGGTTTGTAAGCAACTGGTTTCAAAATGATGCGATAACTGCAGGGCTAGAGGGTTGTGGGTACAGCACAGAGCAAGTAATCTCTCTTCCTCTCTTCAAAAGGACAGCTTCATGCCGTCCTCAAATCCTCTTCTCCAAGGGAAAGACCTCCAAGGCTTTCTGTTGTTCCTCCTCCTGATTGCTTCTCCTCACTGGCTGGAGTTCACCATGCTCTTCCCTGTTACAGTGCCTGCCTCCAGAGCTGTGCTGGAGGTTGGAGAACCCCTCAGAAGGAGGTCACGACACAGTGATCCCCTGAATCTATTTGCTTCCCATCTGTAGACAGCTCCCCCACAGACTGGCATGGCTCCACAGAGTGACCATCTTTTGGGGACCCAGAGGTCATCTCTCTTTTGTAATTACTGTAAAAATGGTGAAGAAGTACGTAGGACAGTCATATTTGGTTTCTGACATTACTTTTCTTCCATATTTGATAATCAAAACCACAGAGCCCAGCACTGCTGAGAGCCGGCAGAGAGGCAAGCAGCTAATATTGACACGTTTGTTAGCTGGAAGGCAGCTGCAGATCTGGGGTCATTCAGAGCCCTGGGGCTTGTAGCTCAGGCTGGGAAGTCTAGGATCTTCCTGCTGGGAATCCCACCAGCTAGTACCTGTGGCTGCCCATGCCAAGGGTTGTCTGTCCTGGCCTTTGCTGAAGCCAGTCCTTTGACCTAGAATCTGCCATTCCCCTCCTTTTTCCAGAGTAGCAATCCCCTTATCCTCCTAATACTCAGCTCCTATTTCATTCTTTTGGGAAGGTTCTTTCCTGTGGCTTCCATGGAATTGTATTACCCTGTTTCTGTGATGCTTGTGATGGTTTTACTCACTGTTGCCGGAGCCTGGTAGGGATGAGGTGCCAAGTTAGCTGAATGGAATCATTTGGCAGCACTGTGGACCCAAGCCAGAGCTGCTCTGATATTCCAAGCCCAGGCTGTGCTACCCCTCTTTCAATCCAGAGAATGGTCAGCCAAGTCCCATCAGATCTCCTCTGTGCCAGCAGCCTTCTTAAAGGCACCACGTTTACTCTCATGTTCAGTAAATGTTAAAAAAATTAATTCAGGCTGAGTGGGGTGACTCATGCCTGTAATCCCAGCACTTTGGGAGGCTGAGGCAAGAGGATTGCCAGAATCCAGGGGCAACTTGTCTCTACAAAGAATAATAATAATTAAAAAAAAGTAGCTGGGCATGGTGGTGCATGCCCATGGTTCCAGCTACTTGGAAGGCTGAGGTGGAAGGATCACCTGAGCCCAACAGGCTGAGGTTGTCATACCATGAGCGTGCCACTGCACTCCACCCTGGGTGACAGTGAGACTCCTACTAAAATAATAATAATAATAATAATTCATAGAATCAATGGGGCCCAGGTATGGTAGCTGTAATCCCAGCACTTTGGGAGAAGGAAGTAAGAAGATTGCCTAAGGCTAGGAGTTTGAGACTAGCCTGGGCAGCATAGCGAGACCTTATCTCTACAAAAAAAAAAAAAAAAAAGTCAAAAAGAGAAAATAAGACAGGTATGGTGGCATGTGTCTATAGTTCCAGCTACTTGGGAGGCTGAAGTGGAAGGATTGCCTGAGCCTAGGAGGTTGAGACTGTGGTGAGCTGTAATCAAGTCATTGCATTCCAGCTGGGGCAACAAATTGAGACCCCCCCCCCAACTTAAAAAAAAAAAAAAAGAATCAGTGGAGTTGGGTCTCTGGGCCTGGGATGAGGATTTTGCTCTTAGTGTACACAGAAGTCCTTAAGGGCATCACAGAGAGAGGAAGTGAGGAGTTTTAGTTCCCCAGACTTGATTGTGAACCTGACTTGATTGTGAACCCACTCTTTTGCTAGCCACTGGCCAGGTCAAAGAAATGTAGACATAGTCTTAACCCTCAGGAGGCTTTCACTGGCATCTGGGAAACGACACTGAAGGGTCTGAACCACCAAGGTGGGTCCTGTGGTGGGGGAGGTTTTCTGGAGAAGAACAGTTGAGGCTCAGTCTAAAGCTTCAGGAGGGCTGACAGATCCATGGTGAGCAGCAGAAAGTGAAGAAGTCAAGTCTGTGATCACACCCTGAATATGCCCAATTTCATCTGATCTTGGAAGCTAAGCAGGGTCAGGTCTGGCTAGTACTAGGATGGGAGAAAGGTACAGAAGTAAGGGCCCTGAGGGAGGGCTGCGAGTGGCTGTAGGGAACAGCAGCCTGGCAGGAGGCTAGTGTGCTTTTGGGAGTAGAGAATGAGATGAAAACCTTAAGAGCTGTCATGCCAGACAGGCCTCAAAGACCCAGGTGAAGAGTTAGTAGGGACTTGATCCCTATCTGGTCTGTAGGGACCCAAAGTCCTTTTAAAATTTTTGAACAGAGAAGTTTCATTTATTCTTTGAATCACGATTACTTCTCTTTCAACCATTAATAAAAACCCTTTCTAAGTGTCTGCTCTCTGCCGGGTGCCGTACTAGACCCTGGATTTGAGATCCATACCTGATGTACCCCTTGCAGGCCTCCTTTTCTCTGAGT